TTTGTTTTCCATGCTGGTGGGTGACCTTATAATTTGTTAGGGGAGCAGTTGTTGTTTGCGGCGGCTTGTCTCTTCATCACCAACCATTCCTGTCATCCTGCAGAGCCGTAATTTCCTTCGTTTCCAGTATCGCCACATAATTTATCTTCTCCTTCTGTGTGCGAGAGAGAGAGAGAGGGAGGAACAGGAACAGAGGGCTATGTAGATGGGTAGAAAGATAAAGATGACACAGTGGGGGGGCGAGGGAGGTATGATGATGGTAGCAATGTGTGATGAGGTGGGAAATGAGTGGGGCAGAAGGGAGGAGGGAGTCGGTTGCCCGTGGATACGACCCCGATATAATTTGATTTGTGGCAGCAGGAAGCAATGAGTGAGCTAACACGAAAAGGAGGGGAGGGGGTGCAGAGGATGTGGAAAATACTGACAGAGGAGAGGAAGAGAAAACGAGGGCGAGGAAATAAGAGGAGCAACAGAGACGAGCGACGAGCGGCTTAACCGTGTCAGGTGCTGAGGCAGGAAGGAGCAGGAGACAGAAGGGATGGAGCGATCACAGGGGGAGGAAGATGGAGAGATTGAAGGTCTCACACGGCTGCTTCTGTGGTTCTCATCCTCAATGTCCTTATTTGCACTTTCCCTCTCCTTCTTCCCATGTTTCATCATTTCAATTACAGTTTCAGTTCAGGGGTATTGTTGCAGGAGAGCAGCGTGCAGCCCCCAGTCAGCACAGGCAAACTGATATCAACATTAGTGCATTCATTTGTTGTCATTGTTAAAACGGCTGTGCAATACATGAAAAGGCCTCTCTGGCCTTGGAGTCAGTGAAGCTCAGTAATGGCAAAAAATAAAAATACTAATAGTTTAACCGCTGTTTTACTCAGTGTTAAAGCTTTTAACACGCATCAAAACAACACACATTTATTCTCCTTAGATATTTCTGATCGGAAACTAACATGCCTGATACAAATACCAAACTGAAACTAAGTGTATATTTCCTCCATGTGAAGGCGTATCATGCACTGTTTGAAAGCAAAAGACGCAACAATTACCGTATTTTCTGGACTATAAGCCACTAATTCCCCCCCCCCCACATTTTGAACTATGCGGCTTATACAAAGCTGCAGCCTTTCTGGTGATTTTTCCTAATCGACAAGGGGAAGAAGTCAAAGTTGGAAACCAAAGAAGAAGGGGCTCTTTTTTTATTTAGCACTACTGCTAGCAGCAGGCCCAGCAGAGAACTAAATGTCTTGAATTCACACATTTTGAATTTTTTTTGCCACATTAAAGCTGTCGAATAAATGAAGAGACTGTAAGCAACTCCTACAAAGCTGAAATAAACAGGTGATGATGCCCCATCTTAAAATAGAACCTCTTACTGCTGTGAGCCAACAAGCTAACAGGAGCTAGCGTTCTTCTTCGTCCCTACTCTAGGGGTTATATGTAGAGCTCCCCCTACAGGTTTGGTGGGGGGCAGTTCAGTAGACATCAGTAATAAATATTTAGGTTTCCAGTTTGAAAAAAAATAAATAAATAGTGAGGTGCACTCTATAGTCCAGAAAATATGATACCACCAAATTGAAGGAAGGCAGAGTAGGATTTTTTTTCTAAATTTTTATGTCCAAATACTTTTTTACAAACACAAAAGGCAACAGTTTCAATTAAGGATTTACTAAGAACAAATCTGCACTGATCTAACCAGTTACCAGTAATTATTGGTTTAACAGCAGGAGTTCATTGACTGAACCAAGCAGTTTCTCAATATTTTTTATGGTTAAGATTGCTTGATAATTTACTTGTTCATCAGTTTCTTATTGTAAGTATTCCATTAAGGAGCTCTGAAAACTAAATGCTAACTGGTGCTAAAGTTTTTATTTTGTAATGATGAGAGTAAAGTCTTTACTTCATCAGTAGGTAATTATTTTTTAACCAGGAAAGTTTACTAATCTTTTATTTTTTGAACCAGGACAATTACAAGTGAAGAAAAATCATTAGCTAACTTTTAGCTGCTAACAGTTTATCCTGTGAATTAGTTTAACTGTTTTTCCTCTAAGTTAGAGTATTTAACCGTTGAGTTACCTTTTTAAAATATATTTTTTTTACCCCAAAATAATGAAAACAGCAAAAGATATAAACAATGAATCAAATATTTTTTAAGTGGTCTAATGAAAACGGCTAACCTTTATGGTTATTTAGGTTAATCGTAAGCTAGCAGTTCATTGTTAGCTTATTGATATTTGCTGATATTACAGATGGCCGCTCACACCGAGTCTGGTTCTGCTGGAGGTTTCTTTCTGTTAAAAGGGAGTTTTTCCTCTCCACTGTCGCTACAAGCATGCTAAATGTGAGGGATTGCTTTCAAGTCAATGACTCGATGCAATCAACTGGTTTTCCTTAGATAGAAAACTTTAAAATTCCTACAGTCAAAGTGCCTTGTGTTGTTATTTGGTGCTATATAAATAAATTAAATTGAATTGGTGATAAAAACAAATATGATATTTTGTCCTCTTATCACCTTTACCTTTTCATCTAGTCAAGCGATTAATATAAACTAAAAAAAATATGAATATTTTCATGGGATCTGAATGTGTAAGGGCATATAAGTATCTTAATAAAAGAACTATAGAAGGTTTCGGCTTCTAGCGTCACTTTCATACGAGTCCAACAAGTTGTTGACATGCCGCTCTACAGGACACAGCCTTACGCTGAGACGTCACGGCTTGTTTTTTTGCTTTTATGTATGATGAACAATATCACGTCACCTGTGGGTGCGGCTTGAACATGCGGCATCTTTTGAAAACTTCCCTGTCTTGTTCTACACCATCTGTGTACTAATTTACTTTCGCTGTGATTTGCATCGCATCAGATTGTAGCCATACCTGAAGCCTTTTATTTTTCCTCTGCGCTTGTTTGTTTTTGTGCAATCCTGTGTGTTTAATCTAAACAAAAAGCCAAATCTCTCTAGATTGCAAATACCAGTTGGTTAAAGTAGAGAAGCACTTCCAAAGCCAATCAGCAGACAACAAGGGACCCTGTGCTTCAGCAACACTTCCAGTTCTGTTCAGCATGTTCACAACTGAGGGGGCTTGATGAAGAGAGTTGGTGTGTGTGTGTGTCTTTCTGCTTGAACGAAAGGAATAATGTGTGACAGAAGGAGAGTGTGGAAAAGAAGGCATGAGAGCATGTGTGACATAGAAAGAGAGCACGGAAAAGAGCATAACGGAGTGTGAAAATGACGGGGAGGGTGAATGTGACGGGAAGTGAAAGCCACCGTGTGTGCAAGTAAAAACTGAGGACTTGGGAAAAAAAGAGCCTTTTCTATTCCCCTTAATTAGATGTCTCAATCCTGTGGGTTTCCGACACTCTGCATTCATGGTGATGAAACAGTGATAGGAGTCCTGATTTTTGATTTCATGAAGATGAGCTGGTTCTAACAGCTCTGGTTCGAGAGATATAAAGATTGGCCTCCGAGGTTGTTCAGCTTCTACTAGAGAAGAAGACCAGTAACACCAACAATAATAAACTTTAAGATATCTCATTTAGATCCTTTAAATTCATTTTAAACACGTTCTGGTTTTATTTTTTCGCAGATTTGGCAGCACTCAAATATATGGATAATGTCTACTATTAGGGATGCACGATATAATCGGCCCCCTATCGGTATCGGCTTGTATCGGCCTTAAAACTGAATATCGGACATCGGCCACCCCACCGATATTTAACCCGATATTTGATCAGCTTCTGAGTTTCTAAAGTCTAAAAAAAAAAAAAAAAAATATACTACTACTTCCTCTTCTTCCTCAAAAACTTTTTTTTTACAGACTTTAAAACTTCTAAAGACGAGGGAAAAAATATTGATACATTAAAACATCCCAATATCTTCATATGCTGATATATTGCCATTTAAAAACACCATATCAATCTCTTTTACTAATGAAATATTGCTATTTGTCATCATTATGCTACGAAATCCCCCGAAAATCCACTAAATTTTGCCAAAATTTATATATGTTGATATATTTACGCGGTATCGATCTATTTTACTAACAAAATCTCACAAGAATTAGCAAAATATCACGAGAGTTTGTAACAGAACGATGAAATTTAACGAGATTTTGAAAGTAAAATAGATCGATACCACGTTTTTAAAAATCAATTTGATATCAGCATATGAAAATATATTTGAGTATATTATTTTTCAAAGTGTCAGAAATGGATAACAAAACTGCTATTTTCAATGACTACTTATTTTTGTCCAGCTTTAACATCAGTATCGGTTATCGGCTAGATGAGTTTTAAAATATCGGCCAAAATCCCAATATCGTGCATCCCTATCTACTATTTCTGGATTTATTTGGAATTTTTTTTGATTAATCAATTAATAATCTGATAACCAAAAGTTCCTTAAAAAATACTTTTTACGAAATTAAACCAGATGAAACTTCTCCACCTAAGGAGTTCTGGATAGAACATTTTGACTGGGAAAACTTTTTTTAAATCTTAAATACAATTTTTATATAAACATATATATATATATATATTACAATTTTGATATAATTACTGCTCTAAATGGGTAGTTTTATCAGCTAAAGGCATATTTTGCAGTCTCTATACTCAAGTCAACGATCAATCGATTACTAAATTAGTTGACAATTATGTCAATAATTGATTGATCACGATTAGTCCGATTAATTGTTTCAGTGCTACTGTCTGCTATGTGATGTTACATGACAAACATCCCTGGACAAAATCAACTTTCTTACGTTGACATCTCTGTCCCTACAATAGTAAATGGGCTTTTAGTTACAACCAAACACAGAAAGTTCTAAGCTACTGGGCCGACTTGGCCCTTTAAAGGAAGCAGGAAAGAAATTTAATGTGTGGTTTTATTCCTTTTATTCTGTTTATTTTAAATTCTCCATTTCTTAAAATGAACATTTCCTTAACTAATTAAAATATCAGCTTGTGTAATTTCCCTTTTCTTTCCTTTCCTTTCCTTCCACCAGGTGACATTCACCAAACGGAAGTTCGGCTTGATGAAGAAGGCGTACGAGCTGAGCGTCCTTTGCGATTGTGAGATTGCTCTCATTATCTTCAACCACTCGAACAAGCTGTTTCAATACGCCAGCACCGACATGGACAAGGTCCTGCTCAAGTACACGGAGTACAACGAGCCACACGAGAGCCGGACCAATGCCGACATCATCGAGGTAAAACGTGGGAACACAAGAGAAGGGCCAGTGGGTTTAATAACTGAAAAACAAACTCGTTCTTCTTTCACTCCTGTTTACAAGACTGCTTACACATTAACCACAGTTTCCCTTGAACCAAACAGCTTTTTATGCAACCTATGAACGTCATCTACTATGTTTCCTAATATATAGAGAGTATATATGCCCCCTAGAGAGGAATGAAGTTCCTGGTTTTACTGTTTTCTCTCCTACTGATTTGTTTCCTCAGATGAATTTCAATCCTCCATCTTAATTTTATAACTGTGTCCCATCATCCTTATTCAGCTTCCTTTCCTCATTCATGTTTTATAAAGAGAAATCAGACTGAAACAGAGCATAATTTTCCTTTTTACAGCCATATTAGCAGGGATTCTTTCTCCCATTTCTCTATTTTTTGTTCTATTTCCCTGGATAAAGCAGCTTTATCTATTTTTAAAACTATTTACCAATTCAGAGAGCAGCTCAGCAGAATCTCCTCCAATAATATTTGTAATGCCAAGAGGTCCAATTTGTTTTACTCCTTGTTGATGTTTGAATCACCACTCCTTAAACACTCCTATTTATTGATGAAACTGTCTTGTTTGTCTATGAAAGCTGGAAAATTATTATTTACTTATGTATTCTACCAGAACTTGCTGCTGTGTTTATTCTCAAGTGGGATCATTAAGATTTAATCTTAACTAATCTAATGCAGCCCTCTCCAGACCAACATTTAGACATAATTAAGCTGTGTGCAGTTCATTAAGGCTGTCCGAGTTTTTGGTTTGACCCTTTTCATCGTCTTTCGTCAAGCTTGTTAAGAAGTTGGCATTTCAACATTTGGTCTGTAAAAAAAAAAAAACAAGACAGCAGGTTCTTTAGTGTCTTTTTCTGCTTCTTCTTCATTTTTTTAACAAAAAACGACTGTTTAAGGCTAGAACTTCATAGGAAAATTTGAATCATTCTTTGAGCTGAGGCCAGACGGAGCAAACCCTATCTTAAAATCAACAAGCAGGGAAAATTGTTTGCCTCAAAGTTTAGAAACTCTATCCAAGCCAAATATGCTAAAGAACTTGGTTTTTGTTTTGCTTTATTACTTACGGGGAGTTCAGGTTGTTAACAATTGTTGATTTCAGTTTCTTGTAGAGAGGATAAATGCTGTTTTATTCCTCTCCTCACTGTCTGAGGCATGGGTTGCCTTGTTGTTCAGGGATCTCTCCAACAGCAACATGGGCAACAAGCCAAAGCACATGTTTGGAAGCAAATTGGAAACCACCTCAGCACAAAATGGCCACCGTATCAATAAAAATCTGTCAGTGATGGTTAAGAAATGCATTTGGTTTTTACATACGAGAGATAATAGATCGGGTCAGGGCAGACGAGTACATTTCTCAGGGTTCCCGCGGGTCCTTAAAAAGTCTGAAAAGGCATTGAATTCTTCAAAATAAAACTAAGGCCTCAATTGGTATTAAAATGTCTTAAATTAGTCTTTCGTAGGTCTTATTTTTTAAAACATAAATAGGATTATTTTTATTAAGATTTATTTTTGTAATCTAAATAAAACATTAAAATGGACTTTTTTTTAAGAAAAAAAAAATAAACTGCTCACCATTATTGGTTCCATCCCGATAGCGGAACCAATAAAAGCGTTGTTGCGGCCAGGACATTTGGGAGATGCGCCATTAACTTTTTGTCTGGAAAATATGAGCAAGTGTAAATGTAACCAAAATTGGCTCCAGCCAAGAGTTTTCTCCATGGAGAAGAGCAAAAACATCTTTTCCTCTGAGAAAAGCCTCCAGAGCAGTGTTTTGCTCTTCTTTCAGTGAAGAAATACTCTGTAATTCCGATAAAACTTGCTCGATAGCCACGCTAACGCTAGTTTCATCGGCTGAAGCCGCCATGTTGTTTAGACTGAACTGTCGCGCTTCTCGTTGCGTCACACCTCAACCCGCCTCAAAGCCAACGCTGATTGGACGTTCGTTTGGTGAACGGCTCCAAATTTTCTTCAACGGAGAGTCTCCAGACTGATTAGCGAGTGAAATCCTGAAAGTTCGCGAGATCAGGATGGTCTCACGAGGCTATAAAACCAGTACCAGGGAACATACATGAGGATCAGTGGATTTATGCAAGAAGTCATTCAAGCTCAGAACGATGGGAATTAAGGCAGTGGAGTTGCACATGCGAAGCGAGAAACACAAAGCGTCAAAATCGAGTTACAGAGAAACAGCCGGTATTTCTCAGTTTTGTTCCACCCTTGTCTCTGCAACGCCTCCACTTATCACCGAATCAAACATACTAAGAAAACCATACAAAGAAAAATAGCTGCAAAAAAGATTCAGCACTGGTTATGTTGTGGCTTTAAAACTGATTTGTTTCGTTCCCTGCTAAAACAAAGTTTGTGAATTCAGTTAAATAATTGTTAAAATATATCTGTCATTTGTTTGTTTTTAGCTTTCTTCCTGTATCGGAAGCTTTTCAAAATTTGAAACATAAATACAGTGGTTTATATTAAATTAAACCTTTGGGTTAAGTTGTCGCAAGCATGTTTTTCTTGTGTTTCTTGTAAATTTGGTCTTAAATTTTTATTTCAAGTGGCATTAAAAAGTCTTGAATTTAACTTGCCTTATGCTGTAGGAACACTGATTTCTAGTTTTACTTCTCTACGTGTTTGCTCCTGGGGGACAGAGCTCTGCTGAGGTCATTAGGTTGAACATCGAGCGCATTCACATGCTTAGCTGACCTGTTTCATACGTGACGACCGCCTCATGAATTCAAGACAAAACGATATGGTTCAGCGGGCCGTACGGCGCTCATGCTTCCAGTGGAGTCTTAAGTTAAACCTGCGCTCGAATCGCCTTTGAATTTTTTCTTAATTGCTTTTTACACACTGGCTGCAGGGCTCTCAGCCATCCGCGAACGGCGTCAAGTGAGAAAAACCAGTTAAAGACAAACAGCAAAACAGCAGAAAAAAGGGATTTCCAGCTCATGGATGGATTTTATGTGCCTATTTTAGCCACAGCCACCAATGTTTCAGCTTCAGATTCCCAGAATTTAATTTATTAATTTATCCAAGCTGTCCTCGTAATTTGGAATAAAACCTTGTGCTGGCAATGATGGAAAGTGAGAACAGGAATATTGGAGTAGGAATGATTCCCTGCTGCTTCCCTCCACTGTAACCTGCCAAATTACAACCTGCACAAACCTTCCAAATAATTCAACACAAACAAGCTTCAGTTTTTTACCCTTTGCTTCCTATAAAAGTTTGACTTCTTCTACTAACAGAACTAGTTTTACCAAGACCAGAAAACTTAGTAAGCTGTTTTTTTTATTTTGTTTTATGCATTTAAGGCTGATTTAATCAATTATGTTAACGAGGGAAACCTGGAAGTTTCAGAAATGTTTGAATCTACATCCTGAGTCCACGGAAAGCTTGTATGACCTCTAACTGTTGCTTTAGGGCAAATCAGTCTTTTCCACTTACATAGCAGGAACCAACCGTTATCTGTTAAGTCAGTGAAGTTATGCTTAAAAAGTGTTTAATTTCCAACTATCAGCCAGGTTCTGCTGCTCAACAGGTGGTGGTAACAGATGACCTAGCTCTTTTCCAGCAGGTTTTTGATTTATTTTTGGACAAAACATTCGATACCCAAGTTGGCCTTAGATGGTCAGAAGTGCCAAAGTAGCCTGGCTGGGCTGACTTATGCCATTTCCACTAGGGATGGAACGGTTTATGAAAACCGTCCGAACCGTTCGGTTCGACTGTCTCAGTTCGGTTCGCGTGTGTTGCGTTTGGTTCATGCGCTGCTCCTTTTTCTCATAGGCGAAGCGTTTACACTCCAGAGCAGAAGGTGGCAGTACTGCGACCAAAGCCAACCACCAGTAGTAAGCAAGAAGAAGCAAAGCAGCGTAGCCGGCAGCACTTTATAGGTCTGCTGTATGGGACCACTTTGCATTTAGAGTGACCTACGATGACGGCGGAAAGAAAGTTGTGGATAAAAGTGCAACGTTGTGCAACACCTTTTGTTTATGCTAACAACAAAACGACCAACATGTCAGGCTAACAATCAACATATACCGAACCGAAAACTGTGACCACGAAACCGTTAACCGAACCGAACCGTGGATTTTGTGAACCGTTCCACCCATAATGTCCACAGAACCTCAGTCTGAAAAGGAGCAGGTAGAGCCTGATTTCATAGGCAGGACTAACGGAATCAGTAGAAACAGTTTCCAACCAATCAGAAAAAGGAAGCACTCTTACAACAGCCAGCTGTTAAAATGTTGACAGTATCTGCAACTCTTTTGAGACATAAGAAAGGGTATCAATAAAGCAGCAGCAGCAGTTTTTAGTGTTATAATTACAATGCAGGGCTGTTGCATTATGGGCCTGTGATTGGTTCAATCTGTTTTAGACCACAGAGTATTGAGGCCGACCCAGTCTGGCTGACCAGGCTAGTACTGAGGTACGCCTAGGCCTCTTCTACTTAGAGAACAAATCCTTAGTGAAACATTTTTCTCTGGCTGTATTTTGCAATGATAGTGATGAAGCACAGGACTGTGAAGTTCTTAAAGGAAAATTGCAGTTTTTAACACTTTTAGCCCATTTTCTGTAGTGTCCAGGATGAAATCGAATGATCGACACCAAAATTTTGACAATTGGTCCTGTCTCTGCTATTTGGCTCATGCAGAATCCCCCCCCTGGCTGCTTCAGAATGGCTTCCATAGTGCATGTCCGATAATGTCCTTAAAACAACCTTAAACGTTCTTTTTTTAAAATATGCTACTCACCGGGTCGTCAGCGCTGTTCAATGACGTTCCGAAAAAAGTTTCGTAAAGAAAAAACGTTCCTGTAGTGTTTTATTTAGCATTTTGTAAATCCCATTGGGTTCTGTTGGAATAGTCATTATCCCTCCGCCACCGGAAACGGAAATGGGGCCTGTTTACGCTTAGTTGTAGTCTTTTCGCAAGGCCCAAGTGTTTCTGCTTCACTCTGTGTACTC